GCAATATGTAACTTTGCGTATTCGTTTACTTGTTAGTTAAAGATAGCTAGAACTCCTAAAAGCACAAAGCAAGCAACATTCGAGCATTGAGTAACCATAATCAAGCATACCCTAATCAGGCCATCATATCACTAACTAATGAGTACTAGCATGTAGTTCAATAAGCTTGTATAGTATGCATACAAGGCATCCTTCCTAGATCCTTATCCCTAATCGCACATACAGTTCACATATTCACAATTCATATCATAACATAAACGTGTATCAGTAATTTGGAAGAACTTACTTAAGCTCAGTTGTTTGCATGCACCACACCTTTTTCTGTTTTTAAAAATATTTTTTTATAAAAATGTTTTTCTTTTTGAAAACTTTCATACCAAGTGCTCAGTTTGAGTTCAGACACACCCGAAAGTGTGCCCGAATCCCTCAAACCAAGGCTCTAATACCAACTTCTAACATCCCGAAAATCATGACCAAATTTCATTTTTAAACCATTAAATAAACCATAGTTATTAAAATCATTCCATCAAAACATAAGTCATAGTATTCCAAACATCAAATTAGAGTATCAAAACATCAGAGTAGACATCCCAGGCTAACATTATGGTGTGTGCAATGCAGTCATCCCGAGCTCTTCCCCTTGCTACCGGGAAGTACCTGAAACCAAAACTGAAAAATGTAAACATGAAGCTTAGTGAGTCTCCCCAAACTACCACATACCATACACATAATCACATAATAACATATCATGGGCCCCGCTCGCTTCATTGGGTCATACTCGACATCGAGTAGAGTTCGACATTGGGTCCCGCCTGGCATCAGGCCATGCCCAGCATCGAGAAAAGCTCGGTATTCATATAAACATATCAACAAATACATATAAATAATCACATAACATAAACATATAAACATTCCTTGGGCCCCGCCCGACATCGGACCGAAATCCGGAAGCATACAAACATTCCTCGAGCATTGCCTGGCATCAGACCGTAATCCGAAACATACAATACAGACATATGTAGGAATCACGAAGACATCAAGCATAAAAACATTCCTCGGGCACCGTCCGGCATCAGATCGAGATCTGGAAACTTATAAACCTACATCGGGCACTGCCCGACATCAGACCTTGGTCCGGAACATACTAGCATACATATACAGGCCAACATTGGTGCTTTCGACCTGTTCATACAGGAGGAGAACTCACCTCTCAAAGATGAATGTAGAATCTCACGGTACGAAATCTCTAACGGCTTCTCTGACGACTCCCCAAGCTATCAGTGCAAAATAACACTTAGTTAAAAATCAAAAATCCTTCTTAGGGTAAAACAACCATTTTACCCCTAATCTAACTCGGACCATAACCTAGGCCCAAATCCATAAAATCAATGGTCCAACTCTATAAAGCCTTTCCAAGCCCACTAATGGCCGACTTATGGCCCAATTTTCTAAATTGGGCCCAACTCCTCAAATGGACCTTCCCTTAAGCCTAAACATGTCCTTAGCCTAATAAATGACTTCTGATGGCCCACTAAGGCCCAATAGCTAAGAAGTCCAAGGATCGCCCCAAACTGAGGCCCAAATAACGAAAAACAATATCCAGTGAGTACGCGGGGCGTACTCCTCTGTATGCTAAGCATACAGCTTGCATGGCTTGTACGCTACGTGTATGGGCTTGTACGCGCAACTTACTAACTTGTTAAGCCATAAACTCCAAAAAGGCTTAATCATGTAAGTCCTTAAGCTCCAAACATAGATCTGAGTCCAATAAAGTGTCTTAACCCGTAAATTCAATTATGTGGTGGCTTGCAAACAACCAAATGGACCCAAACTTGAAATATGGCAACTAACTTCCGTAGAAATGACTAAAACCCATGCATGGCCACATTAAGAACTTCAATATGGCAACTTTTCTGTCTTTGGGACTCATATAGCACTAAGGGTGGCAACCCTAAGCGTAGAAACGGATTTTGACCATAAAAATCCATTCTTGGGTCCAAAAAGGTCCAAAACACCTTTTACTATAGATCTAAGCATACATGAGGCAATTTGTGAGCTTTTTACCTCAAATGAGTACTAAATGATGATGATATCTCAGATCCTTGAGCTCAAGCTACACAAGTTCTTCTTCACCAACTTCTTTTTTCTCCTTCCAAGCTCCAAACCACCAAAATGGTTTCACAAGATCAAAATCACACAAATATGAAGAATGTTAGGCTTTCTAGGGTTTCTGAGTTTGAGAGGCTGGTAAGGAGGCTAGGGTTTGGGAAATAATGATGTATTTACATGATTTAAACCCTAAAAATTAGGGTTTTGGGTCGGCTCACGTATGTTGCGCGTACCCACATCAACCCCTCGTATCTAATGATGCCACGACGCCTCGTGTACGCTAGGCTTACGCCCATCGTACGTCTTCAGTCGACCCACAAATATAACGACCCAGTCAATAAAGGCCAAACTCGATAATTCAACATTAATCTCATAATCAAATAACTAATTACAAAATTTTAAATATTTAGCATTACCTCAAGTCATGTGTGTTACACTCAACATGATATATGATCGTGAATAAGCGTATTCTTCACATCTAGTTTATCTACCGACCACTATCTGGAAATAGCAAGGTCGAGGATGGTTCTTATGGTTGTTAGTTGAGCCACGTGAATGAAAGTACCAACACAATCAATACCCATTTATTGACTGTAGTCCTTGGCAACAATAAGAGCTTTATACATGTTTAGAGAACCTTCATTGTTGAACCTATACTTAAACGTGAGTTTACTATGAGTATAGTTCCATTATAGAGAATGATGGGATAGGATCTAGTGTTGAAATCTATTGCATGGGGTAAGCGAACATGATTGAATAAGGTTTCTTTAAGTAGGAGCATCAATCGATCTCAGAGGAACACGTATATATGAGAATGGTGAATATAACACTTGTTATATGATCATATATTCTCTTAATCCATTGATCATGTAGGTGACTAAGTTCTTCTCTGAGATAGATTCGTCAATGTTTGGGAGGAGATCGAAGAGGACCTTGAATCATTAATAGTAATTATCAATGGAAAGGTAACTAATCTCAATGTCCTAAAGGTCATTGTCAAGTTGCATTGCCCATGCTTCTTTGTTTTCACGGAAAAGGTTTTAATGCTTTTACAATTTCTTAGTATTATCTGGATTAAGGGTTTGCTATTTGCTCATGGTTCCATAGATCATAGCTTGACTAGCGGATCAAGCTCGTTTCATTTTTGGTTAGAAGCATGCGGTGTGGCTTCGTGGAGGTGATCGGGGACGCCAAAACTCAAGCAGTGGGTTCCAAATAACTCACATCACACTTTATGGTTTCGTTCATCCAAGTCTAGCGTGAGGGTGACATAGGCTTTGATATTTGTAATATTTGGATGAGACTGTGGTGCCTTTATTTGACAAGAGTGGCGTGAAAGAGAATGTTGACAAGAGCCTTACGTAGGGTTTAGGCCATAGATAAGAAATGTCGGCTTAGGGAGAGATTGGAAATAGAATCATTGATTTAGAGCAAAAATACGCAAAATCAGTTATAACTTGGATATCATATAATCAGACATACATTTCCATAACCGATGTTTTTTTTAAGTACTTCAATAATAAATAGTAAACATACAATGAACTTGAGGTCAATAGAAAAGTAGATCATAGGGCATATGAAAACTAATGCACCAATAATATGATATTTGTAATATACTTTGGGATCTTCTAATATGTGCTCTAAGGGCACATTAAAAAATGGCGAATATTATCATAATTAAGTGTAAAATACATTAAGTATATGAAATATTATCATAATTAAATATGAAACTCATTAATAATAAATGTATTTTGAATTTTATTATAATAATATTTTGAATTTAATTATAATAATATTTTTTGCACATATAAAAAAATCTCGTATACTTTTATAAGAACATAATCAATAATATACTTCTCTCTTTTCCGCAAATAATAATAATGATGAATTCTGCTGGCCTAATGAAGACATGTGCCCAAGAGAAGCACCTTAAATCACGTATCTTTGACCATGAAGATCTGAATATATTTCTGGACTGATTTTGTTGGATTACATAATTATTAATCATATTTGTTTAATAAAAACTCCCACATGCTACACACTCATGGTGAAAAAGGCCCCATTTTGCTTCCCAAACAAGCATATCGCCAATTCATTTTATCAGTATGATTCAATTCTCTTATTAGTTTTATGCCACATTACCACATGCATATTTTAAATGTTATTTTTAGTTTATTAAATTAATTGTAATTATATTTACATAAACAATTGAAACCTTTTCATTTTTTAATCTAATGTTCTTGTTTTGATATAGGAAAACACATAAATATATGAATCACAAAAAAAATATTCTTACAGAAATTTTCCAACCTATAAAAAGACATGAACATGCGTAGGGCCACATCCTTTGAATATAAATTATGTAATAATTATTATTTTAAGGAAAATAAGAAATATTTAATAATATGCACCCCCAAATTGGTGAGAATTTCTAACGACGAATAGGGTGACCCACTATTTTGGTGAGACCTCTCCATGTGCTTGGCTGTATAAACAATATGGGGTCTACCTAATTAACAAATGTCCTTTTTCCAAAACCATATTTGAATGAATAAAAACTAAGTTGTTTTTGTTGTTAATTTTTTTTTCGTAAGAATTTTTACGTTTGCGTTTATGATTTTTACTGTATTAGACGATAGACGTTTTTTTATATATAGATTGCACGATTTATGATACGCAAATAGCAAAAGCAAATTTAATAGAAGTTGAAAAACCAAAATTTTAAAGATGAAAGCAAAGTTGTCTTTGTTACAAATCACTTTGGCAATCTCTTATATTGAACCTCCATCCTCCATTTCTCTCTAAGTCTTTCTTCTTCTTCTTCATCTTCTTCATCTCCCCCACCCCCCCCCCCCCCCTCTCTCTCTCTCTCTCCCTCCTCTATGAAGACCATGATGGTAGCTCAAGAAGGCATCCAAAGGGATCGCATTGATCCCAAATCTTATATGCCTTGTGTCTGTGTATGTATGTATCGAATTGGGATCATGTCATCCTTTTGGATTCCTCCTTTGGTTGCTTCAAGCTTTACAAACATCATCTATCTGCTCCAAGAAATTTTGTAGATGGAAAAGAACGTGAAGTTTATCTTTCAGTTTCATAAGCAAAACTAAACTATTCGATTGAAAGTTCAAGCAACTTGAAGAGTACTGAGAGAGGGGGGGAAACGAGAGTATATTGGTGGACATTTCTCCAAGTACAAGTAAGTATATTTTCATTTATTTAAGCTTTTAACTCTTGATTAATTTCACCTCAAGAGTTATGTCACAATGCCCTTAAAATTTGTATGTTGCTGATACAATCTTGTAAGTGTGTAATTTTTGTATGGGGTTTTTATTGTATTTCATTTCAAAAGAACCCCATATAAAAATTAGTTTTTCTTCGTGTTATTCTTAAGCGGGTTTACATGAAGTTCAAAGTTTTATGAAAGTTTTTTCTTGTGTGTGAACGTAAATTTCCCACTGAGAAGGTTGTAAGGCTTATTATCAGCATAATCTTTTTTGTCATGATACATCTTATAATACTTTTAGAAGTATGTTATGATCGATGAACATATATCTAAACAAATAAATATATACAATTAGTTTGTTTCCATTTTTTATTTTATATCATCACATAATAAATGATTAAAAAACTAAATTTGAATAATTCTAACGATTATTTTGCTTTCATATGTAAACACGATCACAACTAAAGTCTAAGTCTTTCTATCATGCAAAAGAATATGAACTTCATATACTAATGATTTTTCTTGAAACAATGCTCCTTAAGAAACCGACGAATAAAAACCAGTTAGACATCATTTAAACCAACGAATAAAATGACAAGACAACTATCGATGTCAAATAGCGGTGGGGAAGGATATTTGTCGACATTAACATAAGAAATTCAAACTCGTTTGCTTTGATGGACGCATGTTGCCATGTGACTAGAACTCGTTTGACAAGTCCAAAAACGATGTATGGATAACATTTGAATCAAATGCATCGATCGTGTGGTTGTAGCATGTGTATGGAAAGACAATCTTTAGGGAATTCAATGAAACATCTTTAATTATCTATGAAATAATAAAAAATACACAAGTTCTATCCTCCCAATATAGTTTATCTGTAGTTTTATAGGATAAAATAAATTAAACGAGGTATTAATCCCTAAAAGGAAGTTGGTGATATTCTGATTGTATGAACATGGGAGAAAAGGTAGGATAGGCCACTCAAGACACAATGGGCATATAAAAGGAGTGAAGCCCTTTAAGAAAGGGAGTCCAACGCCACATGAGTTTTTAGATTTGAGGGACTTTATTTGGAATCCAATGAATTCTGGGCTTCTTTTCAACAACTTTAAGTCTTTGATACTAATTTCAAAAATAAAGGGAATCTTTCACATGGTGATTAAATATGAACTCTTTTTTATTTAGGAACTTTTACTAAAAGTCGTGATCAAGTTTTACCAAATCGTTAAAAACAGTTTTAAATTACCAATAAAAAAATCGACTAAAGTTGCACATTAAGAAATAGTGGAACTTCAAAATCTTTAATTTATTGTATTCTAAAAAGGCTTAAATGTAAGAAATCTTGCACAATATGAGTAGGCATGCAAGTTTTTAGCCTCTAAAGCGCATGTAGCCGATCAACCTCATTACACATTTGACAAAGAAGAAAATTATATAGTTAAAGCAAACTTATTATTAAATATTTTTACGTTGAATCTCAATATTAGTAGTAAAGCAAATATATAACTATCATATTAGTTTTATTAAACATTATATTTTAACTTTTATGTTATTGTGATGTATATCATTATTTGATAATTTTATAAGCCGTTTAATGTTATATAAATTATATATCAAACATATGATGATCTATATATAACGAATAACAAAATGTAAAAAAAAATAATTACTACAACTTTTAGTAAAAAAAACACTAAAACATTTATTATAAAATTTGTATTAAGAAAGATATATATACAACAAATAAAAAATGTATGAAAAATAAATACTATAATTTTTAATAACATAAAAACACTAATTTAAAAGACATGATTAATGCCATAAAAACCATTAAGTTTGCACGAATATTGTCGGATTTACCCAAAGTTCAAATTTGTGTTTGTTTTTGCCTCAAACTTGCATTAAATGTTGTGTTTTTACCTATTAACTGGTTTCCCTTTAATGAGCCGGTTACCACTTGCTTATTTGGAAGATATGTGGCTCATTAAATCCCTTTATGTAGACAAATTCAAACATATCTCTATTTGACCTCTTCCACCCTCACAGTTAGTCTTACAGATTCTTCCTTCTACAATGATAAAATCTGCAAGATCAAGCTTCAATGGTGGTTTAAGGACGAAGAAGAGGGTAATCACATGTGACTGTGGTGATGTTTGTCGTATATCAGTCTCATGAACCCCTGAGTACCCAAGACGAAAATTTTGGGGTTACCTTAATTATCAGGTAAAAACCTCTATATTTTTGTACTAATTTCTCCTTAAAATTTTCGGGTTGCCCTAAGTTTCCAAAGAGGACCATATCTAATAGAACCCTAAATTTTTGTGTGTTGTAGGTGGAAGGAGGCAACTGTGATTTTTTCAAATGGGTGGATGGCGAATTAGATCAAGAAATGGAGATGTCTCATACAAAGCAGATCGAGCCATTGTTAGAAGTGATCATAGGGTTGTTAGTGCTTATATTGATGATGGTACCAATAATGGTTAATAAGATGTAGTTTTGTTTTGCAATCTGTTTATGGTAATGTATGAAGGGTAATGAATACCTTTTTCATTTATTGGCAATGTATTAAGGGTAATCAAGAATTGTTACATCTTTTTAATGTATTAGTATTAATGGTAATTAATTGCTATGTTATTTATATGTTACACTTGATCTCTTGATAATGGTATGGTATTAAGGGTGAAGTAGACTTGGTTACATTTGAAAATGAAAGTACATTGTTAATGCTTATATAGTAATGAAATGCAAGGATAAATTGGTCCCATTAATGGTAATCAATTGATAATGTTATTTACTTGTTAATGGTATGGTATTAAGGGTAAAGTACACTTGGTTACATTGAAAATGAAAGTACATTGTTAATGCTTATATAGTAATGAACTGTAAGGGTAAATTGGTCATATGAATGGTAATTAATTATAACACCAACATACCTACCAGAAAAACCTTAACATCCACAAGAAAAAAAAACACCATGGTTACCATAATTAAGGGCATCCATTATAAAATTAAATAAAAATAATCTATTATATAAGTTTTACTAGCATGTAGCAGCCATCTATTTTGTATTCCAAAACATGTACTCAAAAGCCTAAAAAATATCCAAAAAAGGAAAGACATAATGTAACACTAAAAAAATGGATGTATGTTGCAAGTAGTGGGTTTATACCAAACCATGTACCTAAAAAGGTTACCTATATAATTTCCCAACTATACCATCCCCATTTGCCCCCATATACCTATCTAACTACTCAAAATCTACTAGATAGCTAGACGTGGAACCCCTTCCCCTTTTTTTTTTTTTTTTTTTTTCTGAAACAAGGATTCTTTAGCTTTTGCAGGATGATCCTCTCTGGGGGATTTCATGTCCTTCTGAGTTGTACGTGCCTGTCATCATCAACATCATTTCTTCCATATTTGCTTCATTATCCTTACCATCACCCTCACCATCAGTCTCAACATCACCATCACCCTGACCAACTCCATAAAAAAATACACCCCCCTCACCATCATCCTCCCCGACTCCATCAACAGTTCCATCACCATCACTATCACCCTTATTTTCCTCCACCACACCATCAACATACGGAATAGCCTCAACTTCATTTACATCTTGTTAATCAAAATTTGAAAAAAAAAATACTTATTAATAAAGGATATAAATAGTTTTAAACCATCAACATATGAAAATGATAATGTCACACCCCCAAACCAAGGATGGCGGAAACGTCCAGGGGTAGAGGACTTCAAGTATAGTATCACAACAACAAGTATAATAATGCTCAAAGTAAAACAACCAACATAACAAAATTGAAAATTTTACACCATAGTATGAGTTTTCAAGTTTCTAAATCAATTACATTATGTTGACAAAAATGAAATGTTTAATGCTTTAGCGTCCCATCCTCAAAAGTTGTAACATACACGTTTTGAAATCGTGTTTTAAGTAAATAATATTATGAAATACTATGTGAATTTGATTATTGAGTTCTAACAAATAGTTTTTTTACTAGAACTGAAGTAAAACTATGTTTAGAATCACTCAGAAAATATTGGAAGTCTTATGAGATTCCAATTAAAAGTCAAATAGCGAAATTTAGTGAAAATATAAAATTTAAAATAAGTAAAACTTTATTATTTAAATTTGTAGATAATTTCGTTAGAAACATTTAGGCGAAAACCTCATCGAAATCCGAGTTATAACGAAAACGTTATGACCAATCGAAGATCTGCGACAAAACCAGCATGGTACCGAATGACGTAAAAAGTGAGTTTCTGATAAACTACTTTTTAGCCTTAGTGATCTAAATGAATGTCGTAATATTCGTTAAACCGAGAAGTTCGGTAAAAAGAACGCCAAAATCTGACTTCGTATGACGAAGTTATGATTTTTCTAAGTTTCAGATTAGCACTAGACAGCTAAAAACTCGAATTTTAGATCGAGTGATATTTAGCCGGTACAAACTAAATGAGAATCGAAGGTCTCGTCATTTGTAGTACAACGGCAAAAAGTCTGACGAAAACGGATGTCGGATGAAGAAGTTATGAATTTTTAACGGATTTACCTGTCCCGGTCTGTTAAAAATAATAATATAAAAATTAAAGTCAAAATTAGCCAATGAAGTCTAAATGAAAGTTGTAGAGCGTAATTTTACCTACGCGTGCATATAAAGAACGTCAAAAACGGAGCCTGTATGCGAAAGTTATGGATTTTAGAAGATTTTGGCTCAAAAACCGAGAAATAAGTGGATAATATCAGAAATTTTCGCATGGTCAGCACTCAGCCACGTCACCTCGCATGAACAGTAGCCTCTCTACCCGGATCCGATGCGTTTTGACTTCCGATTCGTCCGAAGCCGCAGCCCAACCAGCTTCCGACACGCCTCGCACTCGTATCCGAACCTCGCCCCTCCACCGTACCGCCTCGCATGTGCGCCAACTCTTTCCTTCCTCTCGCTTCGTGGCCTTCGCTCCAGCAGCCGCGTGTCCCCTCGCTGCTGACTCCCTCTCGGCCGACTTCGGATCTCGCCCTATAAAAGGGAGGGTTGCGAGATTTTCCGGGTAATTTTGAGAAATTGCCACTTTTTCACCCTTTTTCAATATTTTTAGTATTTTGACTTCCCTCGAAATCCTAGTAGTATTTCTAACACCCAAAACACGCCCCGGAGTGCCCGAAGACCCTGAAAATTTTTTCTTTTGGTTTTGAAGCCCTACCTTCGCAGAGCCTGGTTTTCAATATATCTATCGGTTTTTATAGAAGAAAGCTATTTATAGTAACGAAGTGCTGCCCAAATTACTATTTTGACCCCCGGTTAATTCAAGGTGAGTTCAATATATAGGAACAATTGTATGTTATGTGTTATATGTACAAGGTGCTTTCTTGTGATATTCTGGTATTGACTTTGAGTCTTTGGCCATGTAGAGCATGTCTCGTATTACTATTATACCTTTGATCATGTAGAGCATGTCTTGTATTATTTTGGTATTGGCTTTATGCCTTTGGCCATGTAAAGCATGTCTCGTATAACTTTTGATATTGGTAATGGGCTAGGTAGGGCTAAAAGCATTTATATGCTAGCAAAATGATATTCAGAAATTTGTATATCTTCTATGCCATTTGGGCTGAACTTTATTGATGTATATCAAGCATTGAAAAGTATATCTTTGAATAAAGTCTTTGATTGATATGAACGCCTATCACATGATTTCACATATGTCTTTGTTGTTCCTCTTTGCTTCTGCCATATTGATGTATATATATATGGCATAACATTATATTGTATCTATTATTGAACTCACTAAGCGTCACCACTTACCTTATCAATGTTTAACAATTGCAGGTGATAAGTAACCAATATGATCATATACTGTTGAAAGATTAGAATAGTTTGTAATAATATTTTTTTTACTTCAGCTTATGTTTGTATAAATTACAATATCTTGGGTAGTTATGTAATATATAACACTTTGTAATAGATGGTTTGTATCCAGTAGTTTGTAACCTCTTTATTAATGTAAAATATTGCTTTTATTAATATGAAAGTAGCATGTATTTGAGTAATAATATTGTGAAGTATGCAAGTTTGGGTCTTTCAGAAATACGAAAGTTTGAGTCTTTCAAAAGCCATTGATTTCCTGTCTTACTGATTTCCTGAGAATACAAGTAGTTTTGAAAGAGTGTCAACAATTAAGTTGGCGAGTTCATAAGAGTTTTATTTGATAAATATGTCATTTTCCTTTTAAAAGTGAATGAATATGATTCCAGAAAATCCAAAATTTTCTTTATAAATTGTGTAATGAAAGCTCCTATGTTATGCAATAATGTACCCTATAAAGATCCATAGGTTCCCTCTATAATCACCCAGTGTATATAAGTTATATAAAATTTAAGTTAAATAAACCGTCGAATATAATGGGTCTACCATAATTCCACAACCAAACAAGGAACAGGTGGTAAGGCGGGCCCACCAATTCTAAGTCGATCGCAACTAAATTCTTATATAACTATAACACATACACTTGGCAATTATAGCCGGAAACTAACAAATTCTAGATGAATTGTAGTTTTAATATCATAAAAATCATCTTGTGTAAACCCAGTACGTTGTATTGATACCCTGTTTATATGAAATGAAAATCATTTCTAATGACTTCGAAAGGTAAAAGAAACATAACTATACCTATTAGAGTTTATCAAAATGTTTGTGTAGTCTTAAATGTCAAGACGAATAATGTACTAGTATTTTCCATATAAGTTGTAAACTATGCAAATTTAAATCGACATAAACTCATTTAATTTAAGGAAAATCCCGTAAATCTTATGTTTTGTTAATAACCCATCTGAGTTATTATAACCATGCTAAGACTTAGTCGGCCTCGTAATACGACGTTCTTCAGGCGTCGCAAAGTTAAATGACACTTGTCACCTCAGACCTGTTGGTCTAGCTGTTGCACGCAACTCAGGTTTGTCAGACCCAATATAGATCTATACATAAATATCACACTCTCCCTACAAGATACTCTGGTTATAATTTACAGGACTTTTGATTTCGTTACTTTGGAAGTAACGTGAAGCGAATGTCTCACAAATTTATTCATTAACAGATTTACGTAAAGCGATCTGAAAACCTCTTTTTGTATAAACCTGGTACTTTGTATTCATAACCCATTTATACGAGCTGAAAAACCTTTTATAATGAGTTCAAAATGTAAATGAAACATAAACTACACCTATTATAGTTTATCAAAATTGTTTGTTATGTATATGAACCCTTTTTCTGTGTAAGCCGGATTTATCATGCCTTATCTTGTATTATTTGTATTCATAGAGGACTCTTACAATTCAGTGAGTATTTTCTGTTATATAATTATACCACAACAGAAAACACATGTAAAATATGAAGTCATAAAGATTAACACTTTGCTCAACATGTTACAAAGTGTGGTGAAAGTTGTAAGTTGTTAAACTATTTTTAACATTTATGCACTGCTTTGAAAAATCACAGAAAAATCATACGAAGTTGAAAATTGAATCCGTAAACTCTGAGAGTTTAGAAAATGTGTCTAGTTTGTTCATAATTTTTATTATGATTTCTAGATGTCTCTAACTTGTGTGAAAATGTCCATGTTCACATACTGGTCCGAATTCGTAGCTACACTGATAGACAGTTTGTAAAAA